ATTGGGATATCGTCAGTACTTGAGGAACACTGACTAACTGTATGTTTCATTACAAAGAGAGTATATTAGCCCTGTTCAATTGGATTTAGTGCAGCGCAGTGTGTGAAATGCTGAATAAAATCATCATATTCATAGGTTTTGATGGCATTTTTTAAATGTGGCACTGCTGGTGCCTTCTGTCTGTGTCAACTCATCAAAGCTCAGAAAACAGTCCTTATAAACAGGGTGTTAAGCATTTCTGATTTCATCCATGCCTTTCAAACGAACCCCTCTCCACCTGTTCTACATGGTTTGACCCTACAGAGTCCAACTAGCATGTGATGATGATGATGGGGTGAGCTCAAGGTCAGGCTGCGGGGGGTTCTTGGGTGGCTTACAGTGCCATTTATAGTGTTGTCAGCACAGAGGAAATGAGAACAGGTGTGTGTCTACTGTATTCTGGCACTACTGATTAGTGCGTAGCTGAGTATCGGTGGAACAGGCACAGGTGCAGCAGACGCACACTCAACCTTTTGTGCACACACGCACACACAGGTTTGTTTTTAGGCCTTGTCAGCACTTGGGGTCATGCGTATGTAGAGGTGGGCCGTATGGGAAAAATATAACATCACGATACTTCAACACATTTTGACGATACATGATATGCATTATGAGATTTAGTGTTGAAAAATACTATCAAAAACTGTGAATATAATGATTTTATTTGATGTTTCACGTACTGCACTGCACTAAACACTGTGCTCTCATTTTAATGAAGCATGCAACTCGTCTGTGTTCTTCAAATTCTGACAAAATCCTGAAATGCTCAGGAAAGCATATTGTGACAATCATAATTTCTCATGATATTTATATGAATTTTTAAAAAAATCATTTTTTTCAGTATATTGCTTAGAATTCAATCTTTTTACATTAAAGGTAAAAAACTCCTTCTCCTGTAAAGTCACAATTTTGGATGTATAATAATCCTAAACCTAACACTAATCTTAACCCAACCAAAAAGAAATGATTTTGCCTCTTCAGTTTTCAACAATACATGTAGCTTTTTTGTTGGGATCCCATGTTTTCTCAGATTTTCCTCCAAAGTCGGAACATTTTTGTCCTTAAAAATGTATGAAAACAAACGTAACAACACACACACACACACACAGAAGCAGTGGGTATGTAGGCTCTCTCTTTGTCTTCACTCCATTGTTTCTAGACCTGAGCTGTGAGATGTGCTGTGTGCAAATATCAAGAGGAGGGATGAGAGTGATTTGCTGTGGCCTTTCTCACTGTGTACCATTTCCATTCTGTCCTTCTCTCCACTCCTTCATCACCATTTCCCACCATTCGCTTTTCTCTTTTCCCCAATCATCCTCTTCTTTCATCCTGCATTCCCCCCTCACTAGTAGGAATGAATGCTCTGACATCCAAAGTAGAGAACATAGTATAGCTGCAGGCACACACACACACACACATACACACACAGACATATGTGTGTGTGTGTGTGTGTGTGTGTGTGTGTGTGTGTGTGTGTGTGTGTGTGTGGATTTGAATCAGTTTATATAATAGATAATAGTGGGAAAACATAATTAATCTGCATTAGGTTAAGGCTGTTATAGAGAAGCGTGACTGGCTCTCCCGAACTCTGCTGTAGGGGAGAGAGGGAGAGAGAGAGAGAGAGACAGAGATAGAGACAGAGAGGGAGAGAGAGAGAGAGAGAGAGGGAGAGACAGAGAGAGAGAGAGAGAGCACTGAATGCTGAACTGTAACTATCAGTGTGGCACAAAGGCAGCTTTCATTGGCCTTCATTTTAGTAGTGCTGGTCATACAGCTGTATTTAGCAGTAATGGTCAGTTTCTGTGGGCCAAATTACAAAGCCTGTTTCTACTGTGGTACATTTAAATGCTTCAGTTTAGGACTGTCAGGGTGGATTAATGTATTCTGGGGATGCAAATTTTGGCAAATGTTTTGACCCTCATTATTCTGCTAATTGTTAACCAGGAAGCCTAAAACCAAGGCGACCCATTAAAATAGCAATTAAAAAAAACAATAGGACTGGTTTTGAAATCTGGTTGACTGAGCAGCACTCGAATCTGTTGTAAATACAATCTGTTGTTTATTGGAAAAGAGATAACATTACATCAGTGGCTTTGGTCAAATGATTTTTGTGTTGGTTAACAGGAAACCAGTTAATCATTTCCATCCCTAATCCATTCGATTGATTGAGTAATATGCAAGATGAATGCAGATTTTTACAGTAGGAGAGATTAGTACACTGTTAGAAATAAAGATTCTGTGCAGGTATATTTCTGATTCATCAAGGTACAAACAATGTAAATGTGCCTTCAAAGGTACAACAGTGGTTTTAAGGTCCAATTGTGAACCTTAAATAAGTTTTTCCAGGTGAAAAGTTCGTATTTGTCCCTTATGATAACCGAATGTTTTAAAACAGAACAATAAAATAAAAGCCTGGAGACGAGACGGGGTGTGTGGAGTCAGTACAACTTAGAAAATATAATTTCAATGGATTATGGTTCAGTTATGTTCCCTGACTAAAGGTACTGAGATGTACCCTTGAGGGTCCCACCCCAGTGACAAGAGGAGCACTACCCCAGTGACAGTTTAGTATCTTTATTTCTGAGAGTGTAGGAAATTTAAAACACGCTTTATCACCATGCAAACTGCCTAATCATACATGATAAATCAAGCAGGTAAACTTTAATTAAAGATTTTTAATGGAGTTTAATCAATTAATTGTGACTGACAGAAATGACACAAAGCCTCAAGTAACAACTAAATATAATATCAAAATTTCAATATTTATTGTTTTCACCTTTTACTTTTATAACAGCTTCCACTCTTTTCAAGAGACTCACTTTCAGTTTTTCAAAGAAATCTGCAGGGATGTTTTCCACACCTCCAAAGTTCAGTCTTAGAAGTTGGTTGTATTTTCTGCTTCTCATGATCCAAATAATCCCAAACACCTTCAGCCATGATGAGATCTGGACTCTGATATGGTCAGTCCAGCTCTGAAAAAAACAGCCTCTACTTTGTTTGATTTGCAGATGTTCTCCTTTTTCTCAGTAAGGGCTACTTGACAGCTACACATCTTACACATACTCCTCTTCTTAAGTTCTGCTTTTGGTGGCCTGCCAGCTCTTGCATGGTTGTTAGGAGTCCCATTTTCCCTACGAATACTCTTTTAATCATATCTTGAACAGAAACATTTTCTTTTTCTCTTGCTTTCTTTGACTCTATCTGATCTCCTCAGAAATAATGCCTGGAAAATGAATGGTGGTCTCTGACCTTTGCCTGGCACTGTGAATCTGGCACACACAAATACAGATCCATTTCTGCAGCCGTATGTGTTTGTGTGGATGCAGGGAGGAGTCACTAATTGCTTGTTTAGGTGGAATTTGTTGAAAGGTTGAAATGCACTGCATTATTAAAGACCACCGCTTTCACAGCGTTCATCTAATCCTGGAAAGTGGCTGTCTCTGACTGTTTGTGCTTATAGCAAGAACTTAGTAAGAAACATTAGTCATTGTGTGTCAGTGTTGAGAGGGTGTAGGCCGTAGCCTTTACTTTAATGAGGCTGTAAGTAATAGCTTATTGCCCAACAGTTTGTGTCATACTTAGAAACTGCTGGTTTCAAAAGTGACTCTGTCTAATAAAAAATTACCCAAATGAATGAACTCTGGGGTAAAAGAATGCGCCGCATCTAGCCAGTAAGGGATGGCTCCAGTTTCCCCTTCAAAACTATTGACTGTTCTTAATGTATCAGATAGTGTTTTGGGTAGGAGAGAAATAAACCTGCACTCAGACTATGTAATTGTACCTACAATTTGAGCAAGAAGAAATCATGAATAAGACGATTAAGGTGGTAGTAACTTCAGGCTCCTGCAGATGGTGTTGCACGAGGATGATCGGGCTATAAATACCTGCAGGGTGTGCGACAGGATTCATAGATTGAGAAGAGATGGTACAGTGCAGAGACCGTCTTGTTTAATGTGTGGAAAATGGGTCTCAAAGCAGATGTTAATGATTGGCAAAAAGGAGTGATTGCGTTTGGGTGTGCCAAAACCCTCAGTGTGAAGAAAGTAGCTGAATTTGCAGGTGTCGTCTTATTCCAAGATGAAAATTCTCACGTTCACAGGGCTGCAAATGTGACTGATTGGAATGATGAACATTCAGGAGCATTCCTACATCTGGACTGGCCCACAAAATCCCCAGATTTAAATCCCCTTGAAAATCTGTGGGACTACCTGGAACATAAGACGCCAAGGAAGGCATCAAGAAATCTGTTCAAACTGCGCAATTCTTTGATGCAAGAGTGGTTAAACATTGATGTCACCTACATCCAGAAACTTGTCCAGTCCAGGCCAAATCGAATCGCAACTGTTATTCGTGCTCACAGAGGTTTTACACATTATTAGGTACGTTTCAGTCACAGGTGACAAATTTTTTGTCCGGCTTAATAGGCAAATATTTTAATATACAATAGCATGAAGACACTTGCTCACCTAGCGTTTCTTCTGAAATCAATGATATTAATTGGGGGTTCATTTCCCCTTTGCTGCTCTACTCTTCTGAGAAGGCTTTACACTAAATGTTGGAACATTGCTTTGCAGATTTGATTGCATTCAGCCAAAAGAGCATTAGTGAGGTCAGGTAAAAATGTTGGATGAGTAGTTCTGGACTCATCCCAAAGGCATTGGATGGAGCTCCATCATTCCAGAGAACACAGTTCCACTGATCCACAGCCCAAAGCTGGCGGCTTTACACCCCTCCAGCCGACACTTGGCATTGCTCATGGTGACCTTACACTCTTATGCGGCTCCTTCACAGTGTCCCATTCTATTAGCAAAGTACCTGAATTCACTAATGAGGGCGTGTCTGGATACTGTTAGATTTATTGTGTATATAATCTCAGATTATCAACAGAACATATCAGCCACTCATTCTTGGCTGTGATTTGCTGGCCTAACTGTCTGTTTCCCTGTCTGTGTTTTTTACAGTAATGAGGCAGAACCCATTTGCAGCGGAGGGCTGCTGTCGGAAAGGCTCAAGAAACGCTCTACAGGAGCTCTACAACCCCACACAGGTAACCGCGCTTTTGGCCGTAACGCTGTAGGTTTAAATGATGTCCTATAGCAGAGCATATCGCGAGGCTGCATTGAGGCTGGTTGCTGTGATGGAATCAGATTGATTCGGTTTTGTCTAAATCTGGCAGCAGCTCGCTCGGAGAGCAGCGAGTAACCTTTGAACCCTCAGCATAATGCTTGAGCGCGTTGCCGTGGAAACTCAATATGGCAGTCAAATCCCATTTCCTTTTTTTACAACATGCATATCTGCAGCGCTTAGCATACAGAATCCAATCCTCAGAGCACTTTTTGTGCGCATTAAGCTCATCTGCTTTAGTTTCCCTCTCTTTCTCTCTCTTTCTCTCTCTCTCTCTCTCTCTCTCTCTCTCTCTCTCTCTCTTTCTGTCCGTCTCTCTCTCGCTATCTCTCTCTCTCTCGCTCGCGCTTTCTTTCACTGCCTCTCTCTGTCTGTCCGTCTCTCTCGCTATCTCTCTCTTCCACTCCCTCTTTCTCTCGCACTCTCCTTGTCCACCTCTGCATCTTTTCGAGATTGACAGCTGTACTTTGTTGCCATGCCAACTGTCCTGCTCTGGAGCTGGAGCTGTAATCGCGTGTTGCTGTCTGGTCCTCAGGAAAGCATCTGACCTTGAAATGAGCAGCTTAGGTTTTAAGCAAGTTCTGTTTCACATCAGATTGCCAAAGAATTCGCCTACACTGTGGTGGTTGTGCACTGAACAGCACCCTGTATCTGCATGGATCATGAACGTTCGAGGCCGATTATGATTCCTATTTCTTTACGTCAAAATTGGATGGATTTTGGTCTTTTTTTAGCTTTTTTAGCTGATTTTTTTAATACATGAAGCTCACACTGTGTGGGCCAAATGAGCAGTGGCCATAAAATGCTATTTTGACCTGTTTTGGAGGTCCCTCATTTTGGCTTTGAGGTAATATTTTTAATTAAATGACATTTTAAAATATATTCTCTTTACATTTTAATTAAATTTGGAATTAAACTTTTTTATTTGTATATATTAATTAAAGTATCCAACAAATCAATTTCCATTCTGCTAGTGGAATGGCCACTAAGAGGCCTACAGGAAGGAGTTAATGGCCCAGACTTACTTTTTAAATTTGATAATGAAAAATCAGTTATGTGTTTAAATAAAATGAATCAAATTAATTGCTACATTGACAGTGAGCAGTAACTGGCTATGTAGCACAATGAGTCATGTTTAATTATGCATTTTGACGTAGATGTGGCAGCAGCATTCAAATTCAGTGCAAGTGCGCTTACTTCCTCACATTATTTATGCAGTAGAACCGTAAGCGGGAGTGTGTTATCGTCAATAACATCATCAATGGCAGGCACTGTCCAAAGGCAAGTACCGCTGATCCTTAAAGCCCTGATTTTTTTTTATGATAACACACACTCTTGAGGGTTACATTGCTTTGATACAACAGTTCTGCAAAATAATGACAAAAGTAAGGCAAAGAAGCATTGAACATTGTGTCAGATGTGCTTTAATACTGTCCAATCCTTCCGCCACAAAAAGTAGTTCCCTTAATAGAGCCATAAAACTGTCACAAAGTTCAGCCCAGCTTTTTCAGTGCTAGCCAGAAGAACTTGAATGTGCACTGCACTAAATGGTATCTTCTTGAATATAGTCAAGAAATCTAATATTTCTCCTGTTGAGATTGTTGTAAGCTTTGTTTAAGATTATTTAACTTATTTCTAGACATTTCATACTTATTTTAAGTATTTTTATTAAGTAAAATTATCTCACTATATTGGCAGATCATTTTCCTTGCTTTAAGAAATGTGCTTGAAACCAGCAAAATTATCTGCCAGTACAGTGAGATAGTTTTACTCATTAAAATGACCTAAAACAAGTAACGAATTCCTGGTAATAAGCTAGATAATCATATAATAGGTGCACAACTATCTCAAAATGGGAAATGTTAGATATATCGACTAGATTTAAGATCATTTCACTTGACAAGATACCAGTGTGGTTTTGTTCCAGTTGTCCCAGTTTGCTGAACTGAATTCTGTTTGTTTTCGGCTGATTTCAGTTTCTTTAGCTGTTCCATCAAAGCCTCCGACTGAAAATCTTGCTTAGGGGCAACAACAGGTCCGGGATTTGATGTGGTTACTCTTGTTCTGACCAAACGTGCTGCAGGTCAAATATTTTCAAACAGACGTTATAGACGTGTATTCATTTTTGTTTTTGTATGCACTGAAGTTGCAACTTAGTAACCGTTAGCTGCAGTGTAAACAGTTATTACTATCATAGATAACAGCACTGGTAGCTTCTCAACCAATCAGAGCCAAGTTTCCCAAAAGCATTTTAGTGTTAAGATCAACTTAACAGGTAGAGAGAGTGTTCAGCCTGATGCTCGCTCCACCGTCTTTCGAAAAACGTGTCCCAAATTGTGTCCGAACTGAACTGAACTGTTGTGTAATTATGAACAGATGGGCCAAAATAAGAAGAATAAATTGACTGATTGCTAAATGCAAAAATTCCAATTACAGACGATACCAATCAGGCACCACAACACAACATACATACAACACAAATATCCTGTGTCTGTCTCCTTTTCCTGCCTGTTTTAGGCCAGATCTCTGCATTAGGTTCTGTTTTTTGTGCAGCTGCACTGTTAGAAATAAAGGTTCTGTGCAGGTACATTTTTGTTCATTAAGGTACAAATAATGCAAATGTTCCCTCAAAGGTACAACAGGGGTTTTAAGGTCCAACTGTGAACCTTAAATAAGTTTTTCCAGGTGAAAAGTTCGTATTTGTACCTTTTCATAAGCTAAAGTTTTAAAACAGAACAGTAAAATAAAAGCCTGGAGACGAGACGGGGTGTGTGGAGTCAGTACAGCTTAGAAAATATAATTTCAGCGGATTATGGTTCAGTTATGTTCCCTGACTGAAGGTACTGAGAGCACAATCCCAGTGACAAGAGTATGTAGTACTGTGTAGCACATATTCCTGAACATTAAACTGATCTGTACGCGGATGTGGGTTAGCGTTAGCGGTGTCAGGGTCCCAGCCTGGTGCCTGTTCTTGCTGCCAGCTGCCATATCATCATCTTCTGAAGACCCACCCAGTAATGTTGTGCAGTTAGTGGTGTAGTGATCCATCTGGAGTGCATCTACATCAGAAGCTTTGTTCGAAGGTGTTTCATTAAGTTCTCAAAGCCAGCTTGCTGTTCTTTTTCTTCTTCTTCGCAAAACTGTATAACTTTTACAAAGCTATAACCACCAAACTTTCCAAAGCCTCAGTTCATTTGCTTGTGTCTTTTTGAAGGATGCTTCACTCACATCTCTATTTTTCAAACTCATTTTTTCCCATAGACTTTGATGAGGACTATTTTCAAACTGCTCCTCTTTTTTCCCCTCACAGTTTAAGTTTCTGAGTAATGATACAAAGCTAGACACAGCTTTGCTCCTCTTTAGTGCCTTCATTTTTATCCCTAAACTTCAGTATTTCATAAAATTCAGCATACTCCTATATTTTGTCCTCCAGTCCATTGAATGCTTTCTTTTTCATCTCTTATGGAAACCAATCAAATTTGATGCCCCATGAATCTTCATGCCAAGTTTGACGGCTCTGACTTGAAAATTCAAGTACACAATTACATTTCATACTGATAGCCTGTCAAACTCCGCCATCCTTTCTTTCATCCCCCTGTGATCTCATAAAAAACACATCGATTTTGAAATATCTAATATCTAATATGTCAAACGTTTATTTCCTCTGTTACGTTCCCTGTGGACAGACTCACTCTGATCTTATTATAACTTCAATCTAGCAAATCTATACCTGCACATATGATTGTACATCTTCTATCCATGTCTGGAATCTGGATCTGTGTATATGAATATGTATATATAGATAGATGATATATATATATATATATATATATATATATATATATATATATATATATATATATATATCTCAGAAGCTAAGCAGTACATGTGTACAACTGTACATATCATAGCTTTTATTTCATAACTTATATTACTGTTACAAAAACTGTACACTGGGAATGGTGCAATACTAGTGTATATTAATGTGTATATTGTGTATATAGTCTAATGTGTGTGTGTGTGTGTGTGTATATATATATATATATATATATATATATATATATATATGTATTTTTTTCTTATATATTTTGTATATTTAAGTACTACAAGGGTGCTCCGAACCTAAGATTTTAACTCACCTTCACACCTGTGTAAATCACATTCAACCTAATGATATATATATATATATATATATATATATATATATGTATATGTGTGTGTGTGTGTGTGTGTGTATGTATATAAAGGCAATAAAGTTTCATTTAGTACACACACACCACACACACACATATATATATATATATATATATATATATATATATATATATATATATATATATATAAAACACCTGTTAGAATAAATGTTGCATGTGTTCTGATAATTAATATATAGTTCAGTTTTCCCCTACTGGGTTTCCGTACGCCACTGCACACACATAAAAAGCTCCACTCATAAAAAGCCACAGTCATATTTCTACAGCTGAACTGAGTGCAGAATGACCGAGCAGGCCTACTGAGACACTTGTGCGCGTGCTCTATGGTTCACTGGACCGCTAGGTCATGTAAGGCAGCTGAAGGCAATAAAGTTTCATTCAGTACTCAGATAACTTACTGAGGTTCCTAAATACCACAAGGAGCTTTACTGCTTGCTGCTCAGTTTATATTTAGTTCAAATTTGGATGGAGGCTTACTTAATATACACAACATGGAATGTTTACCGTACACGCAAAGTAGCGTTTAGAATATCATTTTCCAATAGAAGTGTATTTTAGTGTATGTCATGGTTCAGTGGAGCCTCAGGTCATATGAAGTATTTGAAGGCAATAAAGTTTCATTCAGTACTTAAAGGTGAATTCCACTGGTTTTTCAAAATTTCTGAATATTTGCACTGACATGCAAATGGTACTGAAATGATTATAATAG